TAGATGACTGAGACCTCATAAAAATAAGACACATCTGTGCATCAAAAGATTTAACCAAAGAGTAAAGAGAAAATCCACATATGGGGAAAATTTTTTCGCAATGATGTATCAGACAAGGGAAATTTTATAGAAAACTTCAACACTTAAACAAGACAAAGATACATAGCTGAATTAAAAAATAAATGAGCAGAAGTAATGAACAGTTTACCAAAGACATTCAGGCTGCCAACAAATATAAGAAAAAACTACTCGAGAACACTATATATCCAAGAGATTAAAATTAAAAAAATTAAATACCACTTCACTCTAGAATTGATAGCAAGTTCATGTAAAAAATCAACAAATGGTGGAGGGAGGGTGAAGATATTGTAACTCTTTTACACTGCTGTTAGGGCTGTAAAACAGTACAACAACTACAGAAACAGTTATAGCAATTCCCCTAACAATTGGGAATAGAAGTAATGTATGACCCAATAATTGTGTACTTGGTATATATCTGACAAAAATAAGGAACAAAGCACAAACAGACATATCCACACCCATGTTCATTGCAGCAATAGTCACAATAGTAAGGAGATGGAAAGAGCATAAATGTCCATCAATGTGAAAATTGATAAATAACTGTTGGAATATATGCACCATAGAATACTATCAATTATTAACAACGATGAAACACTGAACATGACTTGGATGGATTTGGAGGTCATTATACTGAATGAAGTAGTTAATCACAAAAGGACAAATATTCCATGAGATCACTGTTGTGAAAAAGAATCAAGAAAATATTTACCAAGGCAAAAGAAACAGACTTTGAGGGGTACCAGGGTTGGGAGAGGAAGGAAGGCAAGGAGAATGATGTAATACAGGTTATATAGGAGTTAATTCGTGTGAAAATGAAGACAATATCCTCAAAGAAGGAGTTTGGAGAAAAGGGAGAATAGAGCAAATCATGGGGAGGTTTAATCAATTATTTATATTGTTGAATGCAAAAATGATGATCATATATATAGCACCCACCTAAAACAATTTTTTTAATGGCTACTACTGGTATTTGATCAGATGAAGGAAATTCTACATATGCTTGCAGAAAAGATAACTGGACATTTTTTAAAAATAATCATCTCAGATTAAATTATGTATGAAAGTAAGAATGAAAAGTAAAAATCAAAAATAAGATTATGATAAGGAAGTTTATCTCAAAGGTTGATAAAGTTTCATATACATTTTCAATTACCCTGAAGCACATTTATAATATGTAAATGAGTATAGCATGAACTGTTAGCTAATACCAATACGTCCCCAAACAATACATAGGGAGAAGGAGCAGAACCGTGGCATTAGACAGAGAGGAATGAATACCATGCCCAGGAATCAGGCTTGGTCAGAAAAAGAAAGGTTATTAAAAATAATAACCTAGAAAAAATAAAGGTTATTAAAGCCAACCTCTAAAGCCAGACTCAGATATCAAAGTTGAAGTTAAGACCCTACCCCTATTCCCTCGCCAAAAAAAGCAAGAAAGGATCCAAATTGGTGAGGAGGTGGGTGTGGGAGACCTGGTAGGGCATGATCAAGGGGAACGTAACAAAGAGGAAGTGCTGAAATCCTGGTGGGGACTGAGCATGATAGTGGGACAGGAGGAGAATCAAGGGAAATA